TGTAAGAAAAGATCTTGCTAAGTTTCCCAGGCTGACTTTGAACTTGTCATCCTCCTGCCTCAGGCTCCAGAATCACTGGGATTATAGGCATGTGCCACCATGCCTCGTTCTTCTTTTTAACTTTTATATCCCACCTTCCTCCAAACCCTCTTCTCCTTCTTTGATTTTACAAAATATTATCACCTCTCCCAATGGCACTCGTATTTTAACCATTGTCTCTCCAAGATTTAAGTAGATTCAGTGTGACCAGCACAAAAAAAGAAATTTGGGTTCAAGTAAATGGAAGACATTGGTAAGTCCCCTCAAATTGCACAGTGGGGATTATTAGTGCTAAAGAATGGAAGTGGTGTTCATCACTAGGACACACAATCTCACTGGGAGAGAAAAGACCCTGAGAGGGTGTGTACCCAAAGCCCCTCATCCCTGCGTGGGGACACCCTTTAGTGCCCCATCCTTTATTTCTCTAGCCCACCCACCTGTTGCTACAGCTCAGATACTGGAGCTGGGCACCCTGGAAGGGGTTTGCCCTCTCATCCTGTCCCCTCAGACCCAAACCCTGAGTCCTGAGACCCCTAACTCTATAGCCTGGGACGCTCAGGAGGGCATAAGTCAGCGACACTTTTGCGGTCCCCAGTCGGTCCCCAGTCTAAACTCACGGTAGACGCGTAGATTGTACAGCTGGGTGATTGACAGCTGAGCAGTCCTCATGTTGACTTCAGCTTCGTAACACCCTGCGTCCTTCCAGCTCACATTGCTGATGTACAGAGAGTAGCTGGGCTCCAGGAAGCTCACTCGACCCTGGTAGTGAGGGTCAATCACGGTGATGGTCGCTGGCTGTCCCTCTTTCCCTGGCATCACCGTAGCAAGCCTTCTCTGAGAGGACCAGATGATGTTCTCAACCTCTTCATCCGGTGGGATTTCCAGGGGGAGGCTGATGGACTCCTGAAGGACTGCAACTACTTCCTCGGTGTCAGCATCATCTCCAGAGTTCCCTTTGGCTGCAGAAGTAGGAAGAAAAGGGATGGAAATGGCCCAGCTGGTTTCTCTGGGCCGCAGAGCTTGGCCTCAGGAGCTGTGGCTCCAACACAATCGAGAAACTTCTCAGTCCGACCTTTTCTGGCTGTAGGCTCCATTGCTCCTGAGTAGAACCCACCAGGGTGGGCTTCCCTCTGACTTTTCACTCTTCAAATTTAACTTCTCTTTTGCCTCCCTGGGACTTCTCCCCCTTCTGTGTTCCCAGATGTCCTTCTCTTTAGATCCTGCCTTGAAGCCACACCCTGCTCCTTGTACTCCCAGAAAAACCTGACACAGACAACTCCCCAAAAGGGTCTCACTAGCAGAACAGGAGAACTGAGTGGAGAAGACCGTCCTGTGTAGGAGGGACCGTCACTCACCTCCCTGGAGTAGCAGGAAAAGAAGCAGCCAAGGAAGAGCGCCCATGTCAGAAGTGACTTGGTCCGGCCCCCAGGCTGTGGACAAGACAAGCTGTGGACAAGACTGGTTGGCAGTCCTGAGGAAAGGGAAATAATTCTTACTCTAACTTCCTCCATTCTCACTGAGCCCCTCCCTAGCCCTCACAGAAAGACTTCTGTCTCTGGGCCTGATCGTCAGATGGTTTGTCCACTAACTCATGTCCATTCACTAAACTCAGCTCAAATCCTACTTCCCAAAGAATACTTTCTAGACTTCTTACCCTCTGTGTGCCCAGACCCCCATAGATACCACATGCCCCAAACTCTCCCGAGCCTGTCATTTGACCCAGCTATCAGTAGTTCCTATGTAGCTGTGGTCATGTGATCTTATAAATATCATGATCTCCCCTAGAAGGACTCCATCTTGTGTTCCCTCTGTATGTCTCAGCATTGCTGCCCGCACCCCCACCCCCACCCCGAGTCACACATTAGCACTCAATTGCTATCTTCAGAATGGACACCTGAAGGAACTCTTTCTATTTAAAGCCAGTTTTGTTCCTACTTGAGATACTATTCAGAGGGGGAAATTTGCTCCTTTTCTCAAAAGCAGTTTGGACCAAAGTTGATCTAGGTTATTGATATTGTTATATAAAGACTTTAAAATCACTCTGTATGAACACATTGTTGATCAAAGCTATAGGAAGATTATACCCAGATTCAGGAATAGATTATCAGAACATTGGGGTAAGAACAGACTTTCTGAGAGTTGGGGCTGTCCAGGAGGCAACGGGTGGGTGGCCTTGAGAGGTAGTTTCTGTCCCCAGTATTCAAGCTAAGACTGGACCACCATGTGCTTGAATGTTCTGCAGTATCTCTGACATCAGATGGATCCTCAGATTGAATAATCTTTAAGTTTCTTCTAAAAAACACTCAAGTCTATGAATTTGTGCTGTAATGAGGAAGCAAAAATGGTGTCTCAAGTCCAAAGACACAATGAAGGCGTACATATATTCGATTCTAGTCCTGTACCAACATTTCACATCTCTAGTTCAGTAAATTCAACCCTTAATCAAATGTTTATTGAGCAGCTTCTATGACCCACACACTGTCCTCAGTGCTGGGCAATTAGCAATGACCAATAGTTCAGATTTGTGACAATGGGACCCCTAGGCTCACAACTGATCTTGGACAAGTAACTACAAATTTGACATATCCTGCCAAAGCAAAAACTGGAAGAATCTGCCGGGTAAGGTGGCACACACCTGTAATCCCAGAGGCTTCAGAGGCTGAGGCAGGAGGTTTGAAAGTTCAAAGCCAGCTTTAGCAATGGCATGGTGCCAAGCAACTCAATAAGGTGAGGTGTAAAGCAACTCAATGAGACCCTGTATCTAAATAAAATACAAAATAGTGATGAGGGTGTGGCTTAGTGGTAGAGTGCCCTTGAGTTCAATCCCCAGTACCAAAATAAATAAACTAGAAGAACCTATAATAAGATCACTTAGGAAAGTTGGAGTCAAGAGGATTGAGAAAAAGCTGTGGAGGAGAAATGATATTTGGGCTAAGATCTCAAGGATGAATAGAATCTGCTAAGTGAAGAGGAGAAATGGTTAGTTCTTAAAGTTTATGAGCACCAAGCCTCAGGGGACAGGATTTTTAAAAATAAAGGTAGATCTGATTTGGGCTTGAGTATGAAACTTTGTTTTATTAGTCTTCCCACTTATTTAAAAGATAAAATAATATAGAGCAATTTCAATATTTGACCTGTATCCAAAGAAAAATGAATCAGTATACTGAAGAGAGATTGGCACTCCCATGTTTGCTATTGCCATATTCACTATAACCAGGATATGGAAACAACCTAAGTGTCCATCAAAGGATGGATGGTTAAGGGAATGTGGGCAATACCAAAATGGAATACTACTCAGCTTTTAAAAAGAAAGAAATTATGTCATTTGTAACAACATAGATGAACCAGAGGACATTGTGTTAAGGTGAGAGAAGTCTGGTACAGAAAGACAAATACCACATGATCTCACTTATACATAGGATCTTAAAAAGCTAAACTCACATAAATAAAGAGTAGAATGGTAGTGTCCAGGGATTAGGGGTGGGTGGGTAGGTAGAGAGATGTTGGTCATAGGATACATAATTTCAGTTGGACAGGAAATACAAGTTCAAGAGATCTATTGCACAAAATGGTTACTAAGATTTATAACAATCATAGTATCCTTGGAAATTGATAAGAGAGTAGATTTTAAATGTACACATCACAAAAACCAAGTATGTGAAGTAATCCATGTATTACAGCTAGATCTAGCCATTTTACAATGTCACGTGACAGCATGGTGTACATGTCAAGTGTATACACAAATTTTTGTCAACTAAAAACACAAAATGAAAAATCTTTCAAATAAGATTAAAGCAAGAAACAAAACAAAAAAAAAACAGGTCATGGTGCATAATGTTCAGAGTTTAAAGTTCAGTGAGTATATCTGTTAGGTTCTTTGAGAAGCAGATGCTGGAATTAGGAGTAAAAGAAGCTTAGTGGGGGTTACTGCCTGGAAAAGATCAAAGGGGGAAGGAGCAGATGGAGTAGGGAGATCTTCAGGCCATGAAGCAGTTCTCACAATCTCTGCTGGCTCAACAGTGAGGTCTGGAACAAAGGTTGCACAGTAAAGGGAACCTGTGTTGGGCAGGAGTGTCCAGGTACACTCACCGTGCAAGAATGTCCAAGTGCCAGTACGGTGTGTAGCTATTGGCCGGGCTGCCCAGGATCCTGACAGTGCTACAGCCAGAGGCTGTCAGTTCACGGTACTCCTTGCAGCTAAAGATAAGATTTCTCTTGAAGGGAGAGTGAGGGGCACCTTCCTGGCTGCTACAGTGAGTATGCTGATAGCCAGAAGGTAACTGTACTCAGGCTTATTAAACCTGTCTCCCTAAATAATCATAAACAATCCATTAAGCCTATCAGGGAGAAGAAAATGATTTCTACCTCCAGGTCTTCCCTGAGCCCTCCCAGTTGAATGTAGAGAAAGTGGCTTCTCAGAGCGGATTCTCCAGTCCGATTCCCGTTCTATCTCAGGGATTGTGATCCACATGCAACTTCAGTTCTGTCTCCCACTGTTTCTTCACTCTTACTCACTGGGGTAGTGTTCCCCTGCCCTGAGAACGTGGGCTTGGTTTCTGGTTTCAGTTCAGAATGAGAGTTTCCAGCTGGGTGCGATGGCACACACCTGTCATCTCAGCTACCAGGAAGTCCAAGGCGGGGGGAACCACAGTTCCAGGGCAGCATTGGAAACTTAGCAATATTCTGTCTCAAAATTTAAAAACTGGGGATGTAGTTCAGTGGTAGAGCACCCCAGTATAGGACAGAGAGAGAAATCGAAAGAGAGGGAAACTTCCTGTCCCATGTCATGTAGAAAACTCCGAACCTAAATTATAATCAAATAATCCCTGCTTTTCCTGGCTTGGATTTGTTTGGAATACGAGCCTGAGATGGGAAAGCGCAGGAAAAAGCTCTCTTCTCACTCTCAGCTTACCTCTCCCCACTGCATCCCTGACTGATATACTCTCTCAACTGTCTCCCCCATCTGTGTTTCCCTCTCATAGAAAGATGGGGAGGATTGGGAGTTCTTACCTGGCTGAGTGGCTTTGCATTTCTGGCAAATGATGAAGAGGAACTATTTTCTCTTGGGAGACAATTATGGCTCCCTTTCTTCCACCCTTGGTCAGGAGTGGATGCACCTCTATTCTGGGTGATCACTTGCAACTCCTTCCTCAGTCCCTGGACATCTGGCCACACACCTCCATTCTCCTCTCTTACCCCACCAAATGCCCCTGTTGTGCAGCATCCAGGCCAACCAAGCAGACAGTCTGTTAAGGGTGCCCTCGGTTATCCATCATAAACATTCCTGCCATAACAGATTCCCTCCAGGATCTAGGACATGGCTCCACAATCCTGGCTCCTTGGGAGTCAGATCTTAATTCACAGTTTTTACTCTCCTGGGCTTATCTCCTGGGCTGCTGTCCCCTAGGACTCTCACTGGTAGGACGTACTTCTCATAGTTCTCTATTCTTCTTGAGTCCCCCTCACCTGGCTTATGTCCAGAGGTAACAACTATTTGCAAAGAAGTCTCTTTCCCAGTCATCCTTTTTCAATTTTCCAGCCACGGGTGAGGGGCCTCCAAGAACAACAACACCATTTCTCTTTAATCCTCCCCCCCTGTAAATTCTGCAAGGGGAGCTATCCCTGACACTTCCTTTAATCTCCTGACACCTGTCACACTGTCAGCCCCAAATAATCAAGCAAGAAGACAACCATTCTAACATCTTGCTTATAGCACACACTTAAAGTTCTCTGTGGCACAGCCTGTTCACCTCTGTGATGGGCAGTTTTATGACTGAGTCCTACTTGACGTTTATACTCTGGATGGGTTCTGTTTTTCCATTTCTTGTCCTTTTTTGCAAATGTAGGAGGCCACCCAGCCTAAGCACAGGTGCAACTGGAGCTTTGTGCACCAGCCAATGAAGTGACCAGTTAGTGGATAAATATTCTCTGAACTATTCTGATGCCTGTTCTTCATGGTTCTTCAGAAGGTCTGAGCTCCTATTGTCCACAGCAGTAATCAGCTGGCACATCTTTTATTAACTTTTCTCCCTTCTCCATCCATTTTCCTCATTCCTCCTTCTTGGATCATCTCCCAGAGAGATTTCCTCCACCCTTTTCTAAGGGTGTGTTGGGGTGGGGCACAGTAAAACATTATATACGACAAAGTGGTTGCATCAGCAAAATGTAGACCTCCTTCTCTTCTGCCTGGATCTTTAAAAGTAAAAAAAAAAAAAAAAAAGTTCCCTGCCCCAATTCTGATATAAAACTTTGAAAAAGAGGGAGAGGTGAAAATTTGATTCTGCTTTGATGGAGAGGATAAAGGAAGATAATAAGGGTCCAAGCCTTTGCTCAAAAAAAAATTTTTCAGGTTCTCTTTGGATCTGGAAAGATGGGGACCCATAGAGCAGAGCCACAGTTCTGGAGGAGCCAGTAAGTGAGTTCCAACTACATGACGCCCCCCTCCCCAGTCAAAGCACGTTGAGGTTTTATGTGCCTACTCTGTCTGGGGCAAGACTGTGCACTTGATACATGCTTTTCCTTTTCCTTTACCTCTTCCAGGGTTCCATGCTAAAAGGGTAATTGTTCAATTGAACCATGAAGGTGGCTGGAGAGAAATGAAATGGTCTGCAAATTATTGAACTGCACCCAAAGGACTCTTTATGTAACGGAGGAGAAAAGACTGCTCTTCGCAGTGGGGCCAGCTCGGGCAAAGCCTTGCAGTGTGTGCTGAGGCACAGAGGGCATCTACCAAGAGGGAAACCGGGAGAGGGAAATGGAGAAGATTTGACATGAGGATAGAAAGATGGACAGGAGACAGCTTACCAGGCCTTGTAGACCTCTTCAAGAGCTTATAAGTCATATTCTTTAAAAAAAAATTGTTTTTGAAGGAGAAGGGAAATACATGATGAGAGAGAAAAGGGAAAACATAGGCCAGGTGCAGCGGCACACATCTGTAATCCCAGCAGCTTGGGAGGCAGAGGCAGGAGGATCATGAGTTAAAAGCCAGCCTCAGCAAAACAAGGCATTAAGCAACTCAGTGAGACTCCCATCTCTAAATAAAATACTAAATAGGACTGGGGGTGTGGCTCAGTAGTTGAGTGCCCCTGAGTTCAATCCCTGGTACCCCCCCACCCCCGCCAAAAAAAAGGAAAACATATGGTAGAGGGAAAGGTTTTTTTGGTGTCCGGGATTGAACCCAGGGTCACTTAACCCCTGAACCACATCCCCAGCCCTTCTTTTATGTTTTGTTTTGAGATAGGGCCTTGCTAAATCCTTAGGATCTTGCCATATTGCTGAGATTGGTCTCAAACTTGCAATCTTCCTGCCTCAGCCTCCCGAGCCGCTAGGATTACAGACATGGGCCATAGCGCCCAGCGCAGACGATCTTAAGATAGGAAAGATATGAACGTATTTAAATGCTGAATAGAGGAGCCAGTAGGGAAGAGGTTTGAAGATGCAGACAAGTCATCTCCTCCACCCATCTCTCACCCCCAGGAGGTGTGAGGGAGCTGGGATTCAGAGTCCAGAAAGAGGAGCTAGTTTTAGATTACAAGATGGTCTCCCACTATAATCAGAAAATATGGGCAAAGGTACAGGTAGATTTGTATGTGTCAAGAAGTTCAAGGGAGGGGCTGGAGTTGTGGTTTAGTGGTAGAGCACCAGCCTGGCACGTGTGAGGCACTGGGTTCAATTCTGAGCACCACATATAAATAAATAAAATAAAGGTTCATCAACAACTAATAAAAATGTTTAAAATAAGAAGAGAAAGAAGAAGGAGAAGAGAAAGAAGAAGGAGGAAGAGGAGGAGGAGGAAGTTGTTCAGAGAAGCCAGGCATTGTGGCACACATCTGTTAACCCAGCCGCTCAGGAGGCTGAGATAGGAGGATCACAAGTTCAACACCAGCCACAGCAACTTAGCAAGGCTCTAAGCAAATTAGTGAGATCCTGTTTCAAAATTAAAAAATAAAAGGGTCTGGGGATATGGCTCAGTGGTAAAGTACGCTTGGGTTAAATCTTCAGTACCAAAAAAAAAAAAAAGTTCTGGAGAATGCTGTCTAGTGATTTAAATTTTCCCTGCATAGCAGACAAAATTGTCTGCTGAAGCCAAAGGTTTAAATGAAATGCAGGTATTTCCAGAGAGCAGAAACAGTTTGTAACAGATGAGAAAATTGTATTTTGAGGTTTCTTGGGATAGTCCCAGTTTAGGCATGATGTTCTTGCCTAATGGTTAATACTACCTTCTTTTACTCACAGATAGTGTCCTGATTTGGAGGGTAAGTTATTTGGTTATCCTAAAACAAGTGCAAAATTTTATTAAAGGAATCATAGTGAGGTAGTATTATGGTTTGGACTTAGAAATGCACCCCCCCCCCATTTCATCTTTTGAAAGCATGATCCCCAATGCAGAAATGTTCAGAAGTGGACCTTTTAGATAATGGCAAGAGCAGGGCTAGGGGTGTAGCTCAGTTGGTAGAGTGCCTTGTCTCGCAAGCACAAGGCCCTGGGTTCAATCCCCAGCACCAAAAAAATAGATAATGGCGAGGGCCATAGCTTCATCAGTGAATAATTTGAATGTATTACTGGGTAGTAATTATAAGCAGGTGTGTGGCTTGAGGAAGTAAGACAGAGGGGATAACACCCTCTCTGTCCCATGGCTTACCTCAAACCCAGAGCAATGGAGTCAGCTGACCATGGACGGAACCTCTCAAACTGTGAACTCCACATAAACTTTTCCTCCTCAAAGTTGTTCCTAGCAGGTATTTTGCACAGCAATTAAAAAAAAAAAAAAAAACTAACACAGGTGGCTGAACTTGTAAGAGTAAAAAGCCACCCCTAACTTGGGCAACCAATGCCCTGAAGGTCTGGAGGGAAACAGTAGATAATATAAAGTATTTGAAAGCAAACTGCTTTGCTTCCATTATTTGCATAATGGAGTCTCAAGACCTACTTTATAAGATGACTGGGAAAATCAAATGAGCTAACTCCTATAAAGCACTTAATGCAGAGCTTGGCACATTGTGGAACCTAATGAATATGAGTTGGGGTTATTAATTACTGCAAGTTAGCTGAGTTTGAAGTTCATGGGCTTTGGCATCATGAAAGCTTGGAGCCCCCTGGTAAAAGGCCAGGGTCCGTGGTTATTGAAGAGAATATGCAGAAAGTCTCTAACATGTGAATGGGTTTATTCGAGAACCTCAGCCAGCAGCGCTAATCAGCCTGGTTTGAGGAGACAGAGGATACTGATGCCAGGGTGCACAGCCCGGCTCAGTGTTTTTCATGTCAGCTTCCTGTTCACTAGACCAGCTCTTAGGTA